GAACCACAAGGCTCTGGCCTTTCCACAGAAGAATCACAGAACCATTGCGAAGGTGAGTTGGACCACCGTACGAAACTGTCACATTGAACTTACATAAGGCCTAGATATCCCTTGCCCGCCTCTGACCAAGTCGAAGGCCCGAAAGCGACGCGGCCATGGATGGTCTCGAAAGAAAACTTCAAGGTCGGGTCCAAGTAAAAATTCTGAAGACCGTGCTACTCCCACCAGCAAGAAACGCCGAATAGGCGAAGCGGATGCGGAAGATCACGAGCTCAGGCCAAGAAAGCAACAGCGCGTCACTGAGCTAGTTGAAGGACCGTCATGCGTCGTTCCTGTTGTACCCGAAGGCCCGCAAATTGCGATAAATGGTGGAACGACGCGCGACCATGAGACCAATAGGAATTCGGAGACAGCTGTACCGGGTTGGGCGGTGGAAAGGCCGAGAGTCAACGATGCACGGTTCACAGGACCAGAGGTCATTCTAGTCAACGTCGAGGAGCAGGAAGAAATAGATTTCCTGTTGTACGCACCAGGTCCTTTCGATTACCATCCAGGGACACCAGTAGATACACCAACGAGCGCGAGCATGTCCCGATATAATAGCGATCCGGGCACGCCAGGGTTAATGGCTGAGGACAACGAGAATCGGCGAGGCGAAAGCAATTCACCAGACTCAACACCTGCCACAACGCCGCATGCGCAGTCCATCGAAAGATCACCCACAATTATTACTCTAGGGACAATCGACGAAGACCAATCTTACTGGGCGGCTGAGGAAGGTGACGAGGAAGAAGACGAGGGCGACGCGTCCGAGTCCGTTGTTGTGTTCAATAGAGAAAGATCCATGGCTCCCAGTCCTCCGTCTCTTTCTCCTTCGCACCCCACCGTGCATCCCGCGACCCCCGCGCATGTCGACGAGCCTCAGATGATCCTGTGGCCATTAGGACACAATCCGTGGAATGCTCTACACCCTTGGTTGTAGAACGGGGTCGCGATGGCAGAGCCGCTTGACCGCCGTGATTCTTCTCCCCGTATTCTGGTGTCGAAAGGGCGTTCATGTGCTTCAGAAATAGGCCATCGCCAGCTAGCCGCCTACTCTCTGATAGAGGATAACTCTCCAACGCTATCCGAAGTTCATTCAAGTCTTCCACCTCAACGCAGAGCTGGACAAGCAGCTGTCACCCGAGACATAAATCGGCATCTCGCCAGCGTCCTCGAAAATAAGCTCCTTCGTCGATACAACAACCAGTCCATGGCCCACTAAGTTGGGTGTTTGCACAATTTCGTTGACGGTTGTCCTTTCCTCCTTCAACTCGCACGCACGCACGTTGATCTTTGCGCTCCACTTTCTCGCTCTCGCGACCGCAATAGCTCTTTCCCCATCCTTCTCCCGGCGATTCTTTTCCTCTGTGCTTGTACCTGTATTTGTTTTTCGTGTTCGCTTCCCTTCTGTTCCATTTTGTTTCCGTTTCGCAGTTCCTGTACGGTCAAAGGCTTCCTATTTCCTGTAATAATAGAAAAAAGCGAGGTCCACAATGACTCCACATCGGTGTCGCCTTTTGCCTTGCTGATCCTTCGAGATCGGTGAAGCCTCCTCATAGACCGAATGACTGGAGCGACCTCCAGAGAAGATAATGAAGACCAAGAGGACTCGCACACGAGACAAGAATAGATTGTGGTCGGATTGCAGAGCCTCGACTCTCCTGAGACGTACTCCGAGTTAGAAGACCATGTTGCCACCGGACCGAGATTCCTATTAGGGACAACCATGCCCAAATTGACCCAATTCATTCCGGAACAAAGATGAAGAGCCTGGTCGAAATACCTTTTTTTTTAAATTTATTCACAGTTGATAAACGCACCGCCGGGACAGATAATGAGATTCGGCTCACAGATGGACTCGCTCCGCTTAAATGCCTCTAGGGACTCCTCGCTACCGAGTCAGACCACAATCATGACGAACTTGAAGATGATTCGCCAGCATTCGAACTTATACAAATGACTTTAGCGATCAGGATATGGAAATCAGGCTACTGACATTGTTCACTGACCCGGTGGTGCCGCGAAATCACCCAAGTCTATCGTATAGTGACTCGGGAACCGAGCCCAAGATCCGGCAGGACCTGTGCAAGGTTCGTGTTTTTCAGGAATCCAATCCACACCGAACCTTCGTCAATGCGCAGGTATGCTATTTAGCTAGCTCTCGTGTTAGACCAACCAAGGTCAGAACGAATGAAACTGGAAATGTCCACTCGAGCAAGAGCTATTTGAAAGCATCTAACACGGGCATCCTGCATCCTAATCAAAACGCTGGAAGGAAAGTGGACTTACATGTGCTCAATGTCTCAGAGATTTCGCTTAGTTGCCAACGAACACAGGAGACGAAGGTCGGCGAGAGACGTCGCAAGGGCGCTGCGCTGTCTCCGAGTGTTCTACATGGTAGCGATATCGATCCATGAACTTTTGAGCTTTTCACTAGCGGGTGCAGCCGAAATCGATTGGGGATGGGATTCCTATTGGTGATCGTGGAAAGTGCGAAGATAAAATATATGTAAACAAAGAGAAACGCGCGTGCGCCGTGTTCCGCCCTTCATCCTGTAGTTCACTAAGTGCTTGACTGTGCCACCAACCAAAATTACCAAATACTGACTGAGATGATCATCAGGTTAAATTTTAAGACATGTACGGGTCCAACCGTCATGCGGACCCGGCGCTACGTGATTGTCTCTCTCTCATCCCCCACCATGTCTTCTTTTACTTCAAGTCCAAACACCTACGACTACATGATCTGCCTGCTAGACAGTGACAATGCCGAAACCTGTCCCTTTCTCATAAGGGAGGATGCGTTCATTGATGTATTGAAGCAAAAAATTTATGACCATTCAGCCTACAAACATCACCTGGCGGGCAAGAAGCTATCCCTTTACAAGGTCTTTCTCAGACGTCTCCTATTCTGCCACTATGCTGATGATCGATGTGCAGCCTGACAATCTGAACAGGAAGCCACTCGAAACACTTCATGATCGTGCTGTCGCTTGCTTTCGCACACCTCCAAAGCCTGCGAGTATGTACCCTGCACGTCGTCTAAGCAAGTATTTCCCTGAGGGACCTACCCCGGAGCATGAGAAGATGGTAGATGTTATTGCTCTGGTTGGTTCAAGTACGTATTTTGTTCTCTGCCCGTCCACAAGATTTTGCCGGTTCCTCGCTAATTTGACTAATCTATATGTGCAGCGGTCGTTCCGGCCAAACGCTCGCGTCCTAGTGGAGAAGAATCCTCTGAGACAGGTGGTACGTTAGGATAAATTCGTTGTTGACAAGCACGCAATCCTTACATACACTTGAAGACAAGTCTATTAAAAAGCTTGGGGAAAATGAAGAGGACGTTGAGTCTGGACTGATATTCAATTTATATAAGTATCTCTGGGGTCAAAAAGAAAGGTTGTCAACGATCTGTAGAGAGACGAAAAAAAAGGTGCCAGATGAGGGATCAGTGTCGGACGAGGGATCAGTGTCGGACAAGGAACCAGTTCCGGATACTTTTTTTAATTTGACAAAACTACCGTTTTGGCCGAGAACCGATATACAACTTACGGGCGCAAATTTCGCAACGCGGTTTATGATCCGGGACGAGTACAAGAAGCTTGATGAATTCGTCGCAGAAAAAGCGCCTAAATTTGTACTGGTTATTGGACAACCGGGCATAGGTTCGTACAACCTTTTTACAACAGTTGGACACAGGAAACTTATGTCACAACCAGGCAAAACTGTATATCTGACCTACTGTCTTTTGTGTCGACTTACCGAGAAAAAGCGGACGGTTTTGATGTTAAACCTCAGCAAGTGTTATTTATTCCAGAACGAAGGCGTTTACACATTTCCACGAGATTTGTACGAACGGACCGATAATCACGAGATTATACAACAACCCTTCGAGACACTGATCCTGTATGACTGCAACGCGAATCAGTCAACCGTAACGCCGAGTCGTTCTGGGGTACAAATGCTAGTCACAACTTCCCCTATGCGGTCACAATATCATACCTTTGAAAAGAATCATAAGCCGTCGAGGTTTATTATGGAAACGTGGACGTGGCGTGAGATTTATTTGTCTCGGTAAGCACACTCTATTGCTCTCAGAATATACATGTAGCACTTAATTGTGTTTCTAGCCAGTTGGCTAAACAGCAGCGTTCTCCAGAACAGCTGGCTGAAGCATACGCGATCTATGGAGGGTCAGCACGAACTTTACTCGACGAGGAAGAATCTTTTGCCAAGAATGAGCTGGAGCAAGCAATTCACAACCGACAGATGCTCGACGATTTGATTTTTCAGCAACAAACAGCGCCGACAGATACGAGCAGTCGGCTTGTTCAAATCAACCCTGTGGTTGAGAACGGTGAAGTTCAACGATCATTGATGACTGCATCAATCATCTCGAGCGTAATTCTAGGCAGATTATGTGATAAGAAGGATGCGGAATTTTTGAGCCGGTTACAATCGGCCTTTCTGAACTTTACGGACTGTTCCGTCTTCTTCAAACCATCTGCTGGCGTTGTATTCGAAGTTACGGGTCACAAGTATATCGTGGCCAACACAGAGACGCCGTTTACTATTCGGTCTCTCAGTATATGTCCAACGAGGATTTGGATTTGTCGCATGTAACACGTGTTCGTTGGTTCTCGCAGCACGA